CTGCCTGAAGCTGCCAGCCAGCCACTGGTAGGTCACGTGACCAGCCACTGGCAGCTGCCAGAATCAGACTGGCAGCTGCCACCAGCCACTGGCAGGTCACATGACCTGTCAGTGGCGGCTCCTGCCAGCCAGTTGAAGATTGAACCCCCTCTCAATCTTTTGCTGAAGATCTGTCCCACTTTACCTGAAAACTCTCTAAATGTATCATTTTTTTAATTAAAGGCTGTTTTGATACATTTACATTTACATGGTATTGCAAAAAGAAAACCACCTACCAAATTATGCAAAGTCTACCAAAAATCTACCAATTTTACCAAAAACTGTCCAGTTTTGCACAGTTGACCCTACTAGGGTGTTGGATAACCTCACAAACAGACTGCTTTCTGGATTCAATTAGCTGTCAAGGCTCCCTCTAGCTATTTTAAAAGTCAGGGCATATTTACCGTAAACCAAAATCGTTTGCTGATTATCTGTCCCATTTTACCTGAAAATAAAAACTGTGTATTAAAAACATTTAATTTACATTAAAGAGCGTTTTGATAAATTTGCATGGTATTGCAAAAAGAGAACGCCTACCAAATTATGCCAATTCTACCAAAACATCTACCAAAAATCTACCAAATCTACCAAAAACTGTCATATTTTGCACAGTAGTGTCGGATAACCTCAAAAACAGACTGCTTTCTGGATTAAATTAGCTGTCTAATAATGTTAGATTGGAGAATATTTTGGCCTGTACAATAATGCATCCATCTGAGAAGGAATCTTAATTGGCATATTGAACAATTAATTAAACCTGTTTTGTCCTCTGTTATTTAGCACTGGAATCCAGTGTACTCCTCAGCTAAACAGTTGAAGGTGACAGATGACGAATAGAAAGGCCTCTTTCACTCAACCTCTAGCTATTTAATAAGTCAGGGCACACAGATAGTGTCGGTTTTCCTCCCGTTCTCTTTTTGACATTGAGAACACAGTGACTCTGGTGACTTTTCCATGCTGTCATTGGCGTATTGCAGGATGTCAGTGATTTGATACACTGACAGAGATATAGAGAAATATGTGCCTGTCCTGGCACTCATCGACAGTGACAGGGCACTTTTATCTGTGTGTACTGCACTGCAATGTAAACACACAGCCTGACTGTTATAATTGCAGTGACAGTGATTGTTGGGAATGATTGTGGCTGTAAACTCTTGACAGGTTGCTGAACTCCAATGCTCTCACTACAATACGGGATGATTCATTTTCTGGCCTTCCGCACCTGGAGTACCTGTAAGTCTTCAATTTACTCTTTTAAAAAGGTGTAATTTTATAGATATATGGCTAATGTAGTGCTGTTGTTTAAAGAAATTAAGGTCTTTTAAATAAGTAAAGGGTTTTTAAATGAATAGTTCACCTAAAAATGAAAATTTGCAAAAAATGTACTCACTCTCAGATCATCCGGGATGTAGATGAGTTTGTTTCTTCATGAGAACGGATTTGGAGAAAAGAGAGATTTGCATTGCATCACTTGCTCAGCAATGGATGCTCTGCAGTGAATGGGTGCCGTCAGAATGAGAGTCCAAACAGCTGATAAATACATCACAATAATCCACAAGCAATCCACTCCAGTCCATCAGATAACGTCTTGTGAAGAGAAAAGCTGCGTGTTTGTAAGTAACACAACCATCAAGACATTTTTTACTTCAAACGTCTTACTTTCAGCTAAAATATGAGTCCTCTATTCATAATATTACTTTCTCCTGTCTGAATCAGGAGAGAAATATGCACAGACCAAGAACCATTTACAAGCAAAAAGAGTCATTATTATGGATTATGGATGGACTCATATTTTTGCCAGAAGCAACGGTTTAAAGTTAAAACACCTTGATGATGGATTTGTTTATTACAAAAACACAGTTTTTGCTTCATGGGAAAAAGGTTTTTAAATGTCCTTCCTCGTGTAGCTGCTCCAAGGAGTCTATTATCTGCGTCGGGTCTTCGTATGTCCCCAGATTCATTCCCAACGATGTCAGTTCACTGTAAGTCCACATAAGCTTCTGTATTAGATCATTTAGTAGGCTACACTTGTGTTTGAAGGTGCAAATATAGCATTACACGCTCATAATCAGTCGTATAACTGTTATATTTCTATTGTAATGTATGTAACAGGGTCTCGTTTTGTCTCATATCACTGGTGTTTTGCAGGAGTATTGTGAATGGGACCTTCTCTGAGATCAGGGAGGCGATGTTTGCACACATGCAATCGTTACAGTTACTGTAAGTCAAGCCCATCTGACTAAGCACATGTGTATGATGACATGATATTGACTCACTTTGGAAACTGATTCTGGTAAACTTTCCCATTCACTGCAGAGCATCCATTGCTGAGACACTGATGCAGTGCTACATTTCTCCAAATCTGATGAAGAAACAAACTCATCTACATCTTGGATGGTACATCTTTAAGTAAACTCTTTATGTAAGAGAAAAATAAAGCTGTGAGGTTTGAATGTTTACATATTGAAGATATGCACACGTTTGAAGTTCTTTTGAATTGAAATGTTTTCTACACGTATTTAATAGAAATGAATGTATTTATTTTTCTTAGTAATTGTTTTAATAGTTGCTTTCAATACTTTTCATGTCCACTGACCGTCATCTTTTTTTACATTCTACTCTTAATTTTCTCTCCATTCTTTAGGTTTATAGAAAACAACAAGATTGAAACAACATCAAAATACTCTTTCAGAGGACTTAGGGATTTGACTCATCTGTATGTTACTTTTAATCATATTAAATGAACAGACATCTGCCAATTATTTGTACTTTTCTCTAAAGTGTTACTGTATTCCTCACAGGTCTTTGGCACACAACAACATTAAAGCTTTGCCCAGAGATCTATTCATTGATCTGGACTCATTGATAGAGCTGTGAGTCTGAGCTTCTGTAAATGCTTACTTAGCAATAACTGTATTATAGTATAGTGCATTGAATATGAGATGATAAAATGTCTTTTTAAACCTACAGAAATGCACACTATATAAGAAGATCAGTGCTTATTGATGTTTTCATATATATTTCCTTGCAGAGACCTGAGGGGCAACGTCTTTGAGTGTGACTGCCGAGCGAAGTGGCTGATGATGTGGTTAAAGAGCACAAACGCTACTGTATCAGACGTCTTCTGCGCCGGTCCTGAGGAGATGAAGGGCAAACGGCTCAATGACATGGCGAGCTTGCATAATGAATGCATCTCCACAGGTATGTGAATGAGCATGTGCATGCTTGGTAGTGTGTTTGGACGATTTTTCAGCCAATTCAGTGGATTGTGTTTGTTATTTATAGCTACAGTGCCTTGCGGAAATATTCATACCCCTTCATTTTTTTCACATTTTGATAAGTTGCTGCCTTTTGCTAAACTGCTTTAAATTACTTTTTCCCACATCAATCTACACTCCATACACCATAATGGTAAAGCAAAAAACAGGTTTTTAACATTGCAAATTTATTAAAAAAATAAAACTTAAATGATTCCATTGCATAAGTATTCATACCCTTATCTGGGACAGTTGAAATTTAGCTCAGGAGCATTCATATTGCTTGTAGATGTTACTACACTTCGAGTGAAGTTAACCTGTGGCAATTTCAATTGAATGGGTATGATTTGGAAAGGCACACACGTCTTAATAAAAGGTCTAACAGCTGATAATGCATATCAGAGCAAAGCCCTGAGGTCAAAAGAACTGCCTGTAGAGCTCAGAAACAGGTTTGTGTCAAGCCACACATATGGGGAAGAGTTCAGAAAACATAAGGCAGTAACATAACAAAATGTGCTTTCGCAAGGCACTGTATTTACCAGTTTTTTCGTACTATAAATCCAGTTCATTGCATTGTGTTTGTTATTTATAGCTATTTACCAGTACATTGAGATTCATTGGTAAAAATAAATCTTAAAGTCGACATAATTCAACATATCTGTTTTCTAAATGCATGTTATAGATCATATTGTGAAAATTTAATGTGTGCATATGTTTAAAAAAACATTTTTTTAATTGACCTTGTAATTTCATAACTGGATGTTCTACTGAAATGACTTCTCTCTGGTGACGTATGCTGGACTTCTCCAATCATTTAGTCTGCTTAAATTCACTCCTGCAAGCTGTCGAAGAGCATCTGTCAGTCTAGTTTTTGCAGTGTGTGCTCTTGTCAAGCTCACATCGGCAGGAGTATACCCAATTCAGCATGATGAATATGACTCATATGCTAGTTTGCAGTCGGCTGTAGTCTGTGTGGTGTGTTCAAGCACAGCTTTTTGGTCCAGCCGATTCAAGGCGACAACACTTTAGGTTTTTGCACACACTAGCACATTGAAGTCGTCTTGGTGTGTCCCAGCCTTAAGAGACGATGGATTGGGATGTATTTGTCCAACAGGTGCATATATCTGAGCATTTACAGCTTGGGAATATTTCATTGACATGCATCATGTCTTACAAAGAATACTTGCCTTGGGTATCTCTTTAGGGTTTTTCTGCAGCATATCATTTGTGAGATGCAAAACACTAAGTTACTAAGATGCAATTTTACCATATGTTGTCCAGATTTCGTTCCTCTCCACTCTGTGTCTACTGAGTCTTTGTCTGTGGACACGTTCTCCCACAAGAACGACGTGTACGTGGCCATCGCTGCTCCTAACATAGAGAGCTGCATGGTGCTCCAATGGGACCACATCGAGATGAACTTCAGGAGTTACGACAACATCACAGGTACAGTCATGGCAAAGCCATCATATGAAGGATTGCGTATGGCCAAATAAATCTCATACAATGTGTTCTCTTTTAGGTCAGTCCATAGTTGGCTGCAAGTCTGTGATCATCCAGAACCAGGTGTTTGTCATCGTTGCTCAACTCTTTGGTGGTTCCCACATCTACAAGTTTGATGAAGACCAAAGCAAGTTCACAAAGTTCCAGGACATTGAGGTTTCCAAGATTTCCAAGCCGAATGACATCGAGGCATTTCAGATCGGCAACGACTGGTTCTTCATCATCGCTGACAGCTCGAAGGCTGGACTTTCTACTCTCTACAAATGGAACGACAAGGGCTTCTACTCCTACCAGTCGCTTCACGAATGGTTTCGTGATACCGATGCAGAGTTTGTGAATTTGGACGGTAAGGCCCATCTTATCCTAGCGAGCCGTTCCCAAGTACCGGTCATCTACCAGTGGAGCAGGAGCACTCAGAAGTTTGGCTTGCAAGGAGAGATCCCAAACATGGAAGATGTAGTCACTGTCAAGGCCTTCTGGATCAAGGAGGATCTTTATCTGGCCATGACCCGATACATCGGCGACTCCAAAGTCTTGCATTGGACTGCCAAGGAGTTCTCCGAGGTCCAGGCCCTTCCTTCGAGAGGCTCCATGATCCTGCAGCCCTTTTCCTTCAAAGAAAGGTACTACCTGGCTCTGGGAAGCGACTACACCTTCTCGCAGATCTATCTGTGGGATGCAGAGGAGAAGGTTTTTGAGCGTTTCAAGGAAGTCTACATCCAGGCTCCACGTTCCTTCACTGTGGTTTCCACTGACCGGAGGGACTTCGTATTTGCCTCCAGTTTTAAGGGCAGCACACAGATCTTTGAGCATATCATCATTGATCTGAGTCTTTGAGTGCTGTTGTGGACACAGTCACAGTTAAGGCACGTCAGTAACCCCTCGTTTAGCAGTTGGACGTTTTTTTCTGGAAAACATAGAGAGCTGCATGGTGCTCCAATGGGACCACATCGAGATGAACTTCAGGAGTTACGACAACATCACAGGTACAGTCATGGCAAAGCCATCATATGAAGGATTGCGTATGGCCAAATAAATCACATGCAATGTGTTCTCTTTTAGGTCAGTCCATAGTTGGCTGCAAGTCTGTGATCATCCAGAACCAGGTGTTTGTCATCGTTGCTCAACTCTTTGGTGGTTCCCACATCTACAAGTTTGATGAAGACCAAAGCAAGTTCACAAAGTTCCAGGACATTGAGGTTTCCAAGATTTCCAAGCCGAATGACATCGAGGCATTTCAGATCGGCAACGACTGGTTCTTCATCATCGCTGACAGCTCGAAGGCTGGACTTTCTACTCTCTACAAATGGAACGACAAGGGCTTCTACTCCTACCAGTCGCTTCACGAATGGTTTCGTGATACCGATGCAGAGTTTGTGAATTTGGACGGTAAGGCCCATCTTATCCTAGCGAGCCGTTCCCAAGTACCGGTCATCTACCAGTGGAGCAGGAGCACTCAGAAGTTTGGCTTGCAAGGAGAGATCCCAAACATGGAAGATGTAGTCACTGTCAAGGCCTTCTGGATCAAGGAGGATCTTTATCTGGCCATGACCCGATACATCGGCGACTCCAAAGTCTTGCATTGGACTGCCAAGGAGTTCTCCGAGGTCCAGGCCCTTCCTTCGAGAGGCTCCATGATCCTGCAGCCCTTTTCCTTCAAAGAAAGGTACTACCTGGCTCTGGGAAGCGACTACACCTTCTCGCAGATCTATCTGTGGGACGCAGAGGAGAAGGTTTTTGAGCGTTTCAAGGAAGTCTACATCCAGGCTCCACGTTCCTTCACTGTGGTTTCCACTGACCGGAGGGACTTCGTATTTGCCTCCAGTTTTAAGGGCAGCACACAGATCTTTGAGCATATCATCATTGATCTGAGTCTTTGAGTGCTGTTGTGGACACAGTCACAGTTAAGGCACGTCAGCAACCCTTCCTTTAGCAGTTGGACGTTTTTCTGGGAAGGCAATTAGTAGGTTTTAAGAAGAGGGAGGTCTAGGAAGCATAATCAGGTTCACAGTAATAAGTATTACATCATGCATCTGTGTAGTTTTACATAGATTCTGGGAGGGTTTCGACATTTTTTGTTGTACAGCTGTATATTATTATTGTTATATATAACATTTCCTCAGCCCTGCTGAATCAGGACATTTCTGCCAAAGGTACGGTGCATGGACTGTGGAAAAGAGTTGCACTTGTCACCTGTAACTACCTAATCACTCTACATAATGATATATACTGTAACTTCAAAACTGTGTATGCAGCAGCTGATACCGTGCATGATGTGGCTGCAACAACATTGCGAATAAAAAATACAGTTTTCAGAGCAGGCATGCAGATCAAATAGTGATACAGGTGACAAATGCAGTCTTATTATCTTTAGAGACATTTTTCAATATTTATTTAAATCATGTCTCTCTTTTGGTCAGTGGACTAAGTTGTAACTTGTAATGTCAAGTAATTAGTCAATTAAAATGAAACGCCTCTATCATATTTATCAGGATCTGTTCAGAGTGAAAGAAATCAAAAATTATATTTCAGTTGTGTGGTCAATAGGCAGAAACGTGTGTGTTTTGTGAATGGAAAATATCATCTATGCTTCACTACAGGGAAACTGTCAAAAGCACAAACCTTTAAAACCATCATGCGTCTATTAATACAGAAAGTGACTTGACTCATTACAACTTCAACAAAGTGGTAAACTGATTTTGGAAGAATATTTTTTGTTCTGTGCAATGAATGTAAAAAGCTTTTTATTTTAAGTACTAGTGACAAATATTGAATGTCTGACTTATTTTATAACAAGTGTGTTAAAATAAGAACCTCATTTCCATACTGTTTTGCAAGCTGGGATACAGAGAGAAGAACAACACAAGCCCAAATAATGACTGCAGCCTTCAAAAGCATGATATTCAGCTATTAATATTCAATACCTTTAAATTCTATTTAAAAAAAATCAATAAATAACAACTTATGTACTGGTATGTAAACTCATACCAGTTTTAGTGTAATCTGATATGCAAAAAAAATAGAACTTTAATTTTGTAAAGCATTGACTTGTTTTTATTCTCATTTGTTGAATGTTAGACATGTTTTGAATACTAATGTAAATAAACGCTTATGAACACTGATTATCTTTTGATTATTAATTCAAAACAAAGTAAACATTTTTACATTTGACTTTATAAAACTATCACAACTGGTTTCTGACAAAATATACAGTTAATGTTTTCGGAGAAATTATTATGGTTAGCCACCGTCGCTTTCAGATAGAGCATGATTTTGATATAAGTGACAGTAAATTATGCCAGTGAGCAATCTTATACTGTCACTTCATTTTAAGATGTTATTTCATTCATATACTGTAGCACTGACCGTGTTTTTTGCAACAAGTTGCCAAACACCTTTCTTTCTTTTTTTTATGCAAACATTAAACGGATACAAAAAAGACAGAACAGACAAAACCTCTACAGGAAAAAACTAAGAAAAAAACAAAACATCACACCTTGTAAAGTTTCACATACAAAAATAAATACATACAGACAAATAACTAAAATAATAATAATAATAATAACAACTTAAAATAAGATAATAATAATAACAGAAACACATACAGAGGGGAAAAAAAACCTTATGCATCAGTGGTATTATCAAAACAATCCTCATAATATTTCAAAAATCTATCTCTTTTCTTGTTTTTAATCAACCTAATAGATTTAAGGAAAGTGTCGATTTCAATTAAGAAATGTGAAAAAGAAGGCTGCGATTTAAAGAATTTGTTTACGAATAAAAAATTTCCCAAACAAAATGAAAAAAAAAATGAACTAGGTAATTGTCATAGTAGCCTACGGAGAGGAACGCAGGAGAATCACAATCAACAGTCCTTTAATAATCCAAACAGGGGTAACACAGGGCAAGCAGGAACAAACGAATAGCACAACATTGGACGTTAGACACCGGACAGAAAGCAAGGGGCAGACCACACTATAACTACAATTCAACGAGGTAATTGGGGAAACACAGGTGAACGGAATGACTAAATTAGACTAGGGAAAAACTAGGTCACGGGAGCACATGGGGGGGAAAACAAACACACTGACAGTCCATGGGCGTGACATATCACCCCCCTCCCGGAAGGCGGAGGATGGTCGACGACAAACCAAGGCGGAGCCGGAGGGACGAGGGAGCCCGGTGGAGCCAGTGGACTGACGGGCCACGGCGGAGAGGAGGGAGCTAGGAGCCACTGGGTCGACGGGCCGAGGCGGAGTTCTGGACTCTGAGGCTGGAGGCGGAGGCAAGGGATTCTCCAGCCACGCCGACGATGGAGACTGGCAGACCCGCGGGGCTCGCACCATACTGATGGTGGGCTGAGGGTGAGCAGATGGGCTGCCAGACGACAGCAGTGGAGGAGGCTGGAGTGGGCGCGTGGGCGGGCATTTTTGAGCCTCCGGGCTTTCAGGGCTGGTGTGCGCTGCCCACACACACCAAATAGCGACTCCCAGCACGAGGAGCGCGACTGACAGGGGAACGACAGGGCAGCACTTGGGAACAAAGAGTCTCTCTCTGAGCAGGGCGTGGAAACAGGAGCCCTCTCTGGGATGGACAGGGAAACAGGATAAAAAATTTCCCAAACAAAATGAAAAAAAAAATGAACTAGGTAATTGTCATAGTAGCCTACGGAGAGGAACGCAGGAGAATCACAATCAACAGTCCTTTAATAATCCAAACAGGGGTAACACAGGGCAAGCAGGAACAAACGAATAGCACAACATTGGACGTTAGACACCGGACAGAAAGCAAGGGGCAGACCACACCATAACTACAATTCAATGAGGTAATTGGGGAAACACAGGTGAACGGAATGACTAAATTAGACTAGGGAAAAACTAGGTCACTGGGAGCACATGGGGGGGAAAACAAACACACTGACAGTCCATGGGCGTGACATATCACCCCCCTCCCGGAAGGCGGAGGATGGTCGACGACAAGCTGCCCACACACACCAAATAGCGACTCCCAGCACGAGGAGCGCGACTGACAGGGGAACGACAGGGCAGCACTTGGGAACAAAGAGTCTCTCTCTGAGCAGGGCGTGGAAACAGGAGCCCTCTCTGGGATGGACAGGGAAACAGGAGCCTTCTCTGGGCTAAACTCAGGAACGGGAGCCCTCTCTGGGCTGGATGTGGAGACAGGAGTGACAGGGGGCTCCGACAAAGGAGGGAGGAGAGGGGGCAGGTCGGCATACAAGTCTATAAGGTCTCCCTCCGCTTTCCATTCACCCAGATCCATTAATAGCTCACCCTCAGCCATGGGGCAGTTGACGGAGCTCCTCTCCACGATCTCACTGGCCACAGCTTTCTCCCTCGTGGCGGGCGTGGTAGCACATGGTCTGACGTTACACGCAACTCTGGCTCTGCGGCGATCCTCAGCTTTGTCGCTCCTAGATGCAATGGCTCATCGGTCGCGGTGGGCTCGGGCTTCTGTTCCGCGCAGCGGGGAGATGGTGGGCTGGGCTCTGCGTCAGGAGTGGAACTGGCGAGATCATCCATGGGACAGATGGTGAGAGACGATCCGTTTCTCGCCAGTATCCACTCCACAAAGGCGACGATGTCCTCTCAAGGGCCATCTTCAGACAACGGCGCTCTGCACGCAGCGTTCAAACTAGCGTCATAGAATGAGCAGAGCGCGTCGTCCAGGTAGCTGTTGATGTTGGCGATTTCCAGGAAAAGTATAGTATGACCCTCGAGAGATCTATCCCCCTGCTCCAGCAGGAGGAGGAGGTATTCGGGGTGGGTGAAGGCATCCATAGGGGAAACAACGGAAACAAAAAACACTGAGTGAAACACAGAAACAAAATGGGGGAAAACACACTGATAAGCTATTCTTGTATTCGGTCCGGTGTTCTGTCACAGTTGCCTACGGAGAGGAACGAGGAGAACGCAGGAGAATCACAATAAACAGTCCTTTAATAATCCAAACAGGGGTAACACAGGGCAAGCAGGAACAAACGAGTAGCACAACAGAAAGGAAGGGGCAGACCACACTATAAATACAACTCAACGAGGTAATTGGGGAAACACAGGTGAACGGAATGACTAATTAGACTAGGGAAAAACTAGGTCACGGGAGCACATGGGGGGGAAAACAAACACACTGACAGTCCATGGGCGTGACAGTAACTCACTGCACTGACGTACTAGTTTTACCTTTATAGTAACAAATATCTTTTAACTGAAAGGAGCTAGAAGAATCAAGGTGCTTACCTATATAAAAATATAATCTATTTCAAAAGTTTTGAGTCTTTTCACTTTGAAAAAATAAATGAATACGTGTTTCATCCTCAATCCCACAAAATGAACATGAACTGTCAACATCCATATATTTTTCCAAAGTATCGTTTACAGGATATATTTTATGAAGGATCTTTAAATGAACTTCTTTTATTTTATTGGGAATGCAGTACTTGTGAGGTAACAACCAGGCTTCTTTCCAGTCTATTAACTCAATAAGAGATGCCCAGGAACATTTAGGTCTTTAGGAACATTATATTTTGTTTTCTGTAGAATTTGTCGAATATGCTTATTATTACATTTTTTTGTTAAAAATACTAATTCCGTATAAGGACAAATCAGGTTCTTTGGTGTCACTCTTACTAAAACTTAAATGGCATGTTATAAGTTGAATTAGACCGGAGGGAACCGCTTTTAGCACTGCATTATATTCTTTCAAGTTTAAACGGTAAGGGAAAATTATAAACAGAAATAAATTGCTCATAAGTCAAAAAGTTACCAGATTTATCAAAAATGGAAAGAATTCCAATTATATTCCTGTTAAACCACGAAGAGAGACATATAGATTTATTCCTAATCATTATATCCGAGTTCCATAAAAAAGGTTTTATGTGGTGAAAAATTGTGGGAATAACTAATAATTTAGACAGTGCAACTGGTAATCTATTAGGTAAGTAGTTACATTTTAATATAAA